GCAGACTTCTGAGGTTTTTCAGTGTTTAGCTAAATTAATAAATTAATTTTATGGCTGAGTTTTCGTTTTCAAAGGACTTGTCTCTGCTTCTAATTGGTGGAAATGAAAACCCATGAAGACTATGTTTCTACCCATTTTAAAAGAAAAGCATCAGTTTTGCTACTGTCAGAGGTCTTTATTTTGTACATATAAGGAAGTGGGTTTTGATGCTATCTGAATGTGCTTCCTGTTTTACTATGGGCATGAAATAAAGTCACCTCAGATTGAGAGTCAAAGCCCTTGAGAAAAAGGAGCATATAGCAAGTTTGCTCAACGTCTACTGATACTTGCAGGCCACTTGTGATTCCTCAAAAGGAAGTTAATCCTACTGAAATTTGGCCCAAAGTCACCGGCATACCACATATCATCACTTCTCTCACTTGCGGCTAAGAGATTTCTCAGAATTATATAGAACAACAAATGCATTCACATGCACACAATACAGACATAAGCTGTTTCCAGTTTCAGTATTAATAAAGATGAAAGAATAGGAAATATTCATGCTCTTTTCTGGTACATATATCTTCCAAATGACTCCTAACATCAGATATATATATATACACTGTGACTAAAGATTAATGAGATTAGGTCGTGGGCCACACTTAAAACTCAATCTTGTTATCTGTATTATAGCTGGCATCTGATGTCATATTTACTTCAGCAGATCGTTGACTTATTTCTGTAGTTCTCAAAAAAGTACTGGGCATTCCTAGATGTTCTGTGCTTATCTTGGGTGTACACACATCAGCCAATCAACCTCAACAAATTCCAAACTCACACTTGTATGCCACTTTATTTTGAACAATAAAGCATTATTACAGCGACAAATATGAGTCTGTGCTCTGAAAATAACTATGTATGCATGTTTGTCTCCCCCTACAGAATGTAAACTCCATGAAGGGAGAAATTGTTTTATTTCTGTTTTTGTATCCACAGAAACTAGCAAATAGTAAGTACTTAATGAATGTTTTCTGTTTGTTTGAACAATGGTTTATAACAATGGATTCAAACAAATTCCTGGATCCCCAAACAAATCTTGGTCAAGTCTTACCATATGCCCAATCAGCCTATCTTTGATCTTAATTACAAAACTTTGCAATGAAAATCCTTTAGGTTGCTTCTCTTCTGCAACTGTTCATTGGTAATGTTATCCACAATGAACTTACCTTTAGGTGACTTGAAAATTTAATTCTTCACAAACTATAATTTTTTCATGTTTTCAGTCATTTATAATCAAAAGCACACTACTGTTAAAAAGATGGGTCTTCCACACATGACAAAAGATGAGAATAGACAATGATGGAAGGGTTGTGGAAAAAACAGCAGTACAACTAATGAAAAGCTGTGAATTAGTACAATCATTCTGGAAATCAATTTGGAATAGTGCAAATAAAGTTGACTCAAATGAATATAATTTCAACTCAAAGGTTTCACCGAAAGACTTGGATCCCAAAGAAGTCAATGAGAGAGAGAGACAGAGAAAGATGCCTCAGGATACAACAGAATATTTATAGCAGCACTACCTTTAGTATAAAAGAACTTGAAACAAAGTGGGGGCCCATCAAATAGGGACAGGCCAAACAAACTGTGGTACTTAAATGCACTAGGATATTAAACGATACTCTTAAGAAATGGGGCAGGTAGGTGGTGCAGCGGATAGAGCACCACCCTGAAGTCAGGAAGACTTGAGTTCAAAACCAACCTCAGACCAAACACTTGACACTTACTAGCTGTGTGACCCTGGGCAAGTCACTTAACCCCAACTGCCTAAAAAGAAATGAATGAATGAATAAACAAATGCTGAATACAAATACTATATAGAAGGACTTTTATGAACAGATGCAAAATAAGTTTGGTAGAAAAAAGTAAATAATATAGACAATGACAATAAGGCAAATAGAAAGAAAAACAAAATCATCAAAACTGAATTCTGCTAAATTATAATGACCCAAGCTTGGAACCAAGAAACAGACAGGAGATTACATCTCCCCCTTCTTCTCTGCAGAAAAGGGAGACTGTGTAGATGCTGAACACTGCATATAATGCAAGGATTTTTGAGAGGCAGTTTAATTCCACTGATTATCTTTTCCCCTCTTTTTTTCCTTCTTTCTCATATGGTGTTGTTCTCTGGGAGGAAGTAAGGAGATACAGAGGAAAATGTGACATAAAACAGAAAGATTTATAAAAAAATTATTTTTAAAAAGATTGTCCCCCAAAGAATCAATTTAAAAAACCAGTTGAAACAATTAACAATTTTACTAAGTTGCAAGATATAAAAGAAACCCACATAAATTACCACCATTTCTACATACTACTAACAAAATCCAGCAGGAAGATGGAGAAAGAAAAATTCCATTTAAAATAACTTCAGACAATACAAACTACTTAGGAGTCTCTCTGCTAAGACAAACCAAGGGATTGCACGAACACAATGACAAAACACTTTTCACACAAATAAAGACAGAATTGAACAACTGGAGAAATATTGATTGCTCGTGGGTTGACTAAGCCAATATAATAAAAATTGTCTGACAATTCTACCTAAGTTAATTAACTTATTCAATGACATACCAATCAAACTACCCAAGAATGATTGTACAGAGCTAGAAAAAAATAGTAACAAAATTCATCTGAAAGAAAAGGTCAAGAATATCAAGGGAATTAATGAAAAAAAAAAATTTAAGGAAGATGCGCCTAGCAGTTCCAGATTTCAAACTATTATTACAAAGCTCTAATTATCAAAAAATCTAGCTAAGAAATAGTGTTATCAGTCAAATAGATTAAATACCCAACACACAGTAGTAAATGACCACAGTAATCTAGTGTTCAACACACCCAAAAATCCAAGCATTTGGAGTAATAACTCAACATCTGACAAAAAATTCTGGGAAAAGTGGAAAGCAGTTTGGCAGAAACTAGGCATAGACCAACACCTCACACCATCTACCAAGATAAGGCCAAAAAAAAAAAAAAAAGCATTTGTAGTAGTTCTTTTGGAGGGAAGGAGGGAGGGAGAGAGAAAATTTTTTTACTTTGTTTTTATTGTTTTCTTTTGCAACATAACTTATAAGGAAATGTTTTGCACAACCTCACATGTATAATCAAAATCAAATTGCTTGCCTTCTCAAGGAGAAGGGAAGGGTGGGAGCCAGGGAAAAGATTTGGAACTCAAATTTTTAAAAAATGATCATTAAAAAAATTTTTATATGTAATTGGGAAATGTGTAACAAAATAAATTTTAAAATAATTTTTAATAAATAAATGAAAAACTCTCCTGTGATTCAGGGAGAAACATGAGATCATTAAAAACAAAGCATCATTTCCCAAGGGCAACACAGGCCTCTGTCTCCTTCCAATTAAACTGTTATCTATGCATATGTTGTTTCACAATATATATGCTGATTCTGGAACAACTCTAAGGATTATACTTTCAACAGTACATCAAAGTCGATAAATAAACATTCTTTACCCACTAGGTTTTTGCTGTGTTGATAATTAGGCCAAACTCTTAAGTCACTATGCATATCATTTACGAACTACTGCATTGTTTCAGGGCTTGATGTATTCAGTAAAATATTATCCACAAACAAGAATATCTAGAAGACCTAACCTAATTCTTTGTGGAATCCCTCTTCCAATATTAATCTTTACTAAACAACTTAACATTCATCTCCCTATTCTATATCTCACTTGATACTAATCTTCATAATAATTTATAACAAAATTACAATTAAAAATTACATGGCAGATATAGTTGATAAAAAGCTGGCCTCAAAATCAAGAAGATCTGGGCTTAAGTCCTACCTCTGACATACAGAGGCTGTGTAACCCTCTCAATGCTTTAGGCAACTCTCCAATAGTACAAGTTGCAGAGAAGACAATGTCAATCTGGGAGAGAAAGCTTCCTCATTCAGGGCTCCCTTATGACAATGAAGTCACAGGTCCAGCTGTCATCTCCTCAATTACAATTATAAACCAAATAATATTAGTAATAATTTGTAACAGCTTTATATTAATGTCGAGTAATAATTTCAGTTAAAAGAAAATGTTTAGAAATTATCATGGTTCCTTGTGAGATGTGAGATGAGGAACTCTTACATTTTCTAAACCTAGTAGTTCACATTATTAAAGGACACTTAATGGCACCATATCCAGATTTCAAGTTCACTTCTTTTAAGTGGTAAATAAGCCTTTTGAAGGATGAATATATAGCCCACAGGCGGAATCCAGTCTAAGTTTAATTTCATTTAACTGCCAGGATGACAAGAGTCTGGCCACAAGCAAATACAGCCCAGAGCACCACCAAGTAGTGGGCTGTTTTAGTAATCTCATTGAAGAGGGAAGATCTGAAGATAAAGTGTAGTTGAATTGTGAGCAGTGGTTAACCAGCTAATATCTATTCACAGAGATGAGATATGGTGATAATTTGGCCTAAATCAGTCCCATAAAAGTTCACTGCATGGTTTGCAAAGGGCATTTTACTTCCATAAAATACTTGCCTCTTTGCTTTTTAATTGGCTATACTATGAAAATATTCTAATATAATTTTACATGTTTTTTAAAAAGCTGAAACAAGCATTTTCTATTTCTCACCCTAAAAATACTAAAAATCAATTACTTTCATTATATGTGGAACTTTGAATTTTTTTGTGAATCAGGATTCTTGATTACATATGTTCGTACATATACACATGTATATGTGAGTGTAAGTGTGTGTGTACGTGTATCTCCTCACTCATATTCATCAATCACTTACTAAGCACCTACATGAAGCCCCATGTTAAACTCTGGGAATAGGGAGTGGATCTGTGATTTCACTGGTTTAGGAAACTCTTCTATATCAATCCAGATGGTATTTCCTCTGCAATTTGTGGTCTCATAGAGCTGCTTAGAGCTTGAGTGACTTCCCTAGGTCACACAGCTAGAACGTACAAGAGGGAGGTCTGGAGCACAGTTTTTACCTGGCTTCGAGGTTGGCCCTCTGTTCTTTGTACCATGCAGCCTCTTAGGCCCTGGGGATACAAAAACAAAAAAGAAACACCTCTCCCCTCAGGAAGTTTACATGATATAAGGGGAGACATACATATATAAGCAAACATAAAAATGCACAAAATAAACACATTTAATTTCTGCATTTATATCTCACTACAGATTTCTGAAACATAAGATATATATGAATGCACATAGAGAGGCATTTCTTGAAAATAATTCATATAGACAGACATTGCTATGTAGTCTGAATTAGAGGTTTTGCTATACTTTTAGACCTACTTTAGAGTAGGTCATGTATGTTTATAATGTCCTAATTTCAATCAATACTATTTTTTTTGAGTATTTAAAATTCTCTAACATCCATGGGTGGCAGCTGCCCCATAACGCCCACCAACAGTGGCACAACAGTTATGTGAAAAGGGGAAGCTGGGTGGTAAAGGATAGAGCACTGAGCCTGTAGTCAGGATGCCTCCTTCCTGAGTTCAAATCTGGCTTCAGGCACTTACTGGCTGTGTAACCCTGAGCAAGTCACTTAACCCTGTTTGCCTCAGTTTTCTCATCTACAAAATGAGCTGGAGAAGGAAATGGCCAACCATTCCAGTATCTTTGTTAAGAAAACCCCAAATGGGGTCAGGAAGAGTCAAATATGACTGCAACAAATGAACAACAACAAAAATGTCCCAGGAACTGTGCTGGAGTAGTTTATAAATTTTATCTTATTTGATCCTTACAGTAACCCCACAAGGTAGGTATAGTTATTATACTCATTTTACAGTTGAGGAAGCTGAGGTAAACAGAGGTTAAATGACTTGACCAAAATCACCAAGTTAGTATGGCTGTTTTGTAGTGCCTGAATTAAGCCTAATTTTTTGGCCTTAAGTACCCTAGCCAGGCATCTAAAGGGCAGATATGATACCTATGAGGAATTAATTTATTGAGGAAGAGAAGTGTTTGGTGTGCCTGACTCTAATGTAAAGATCTAACCCTTTAAATACATGAAAGTATAATATCATGCTCCTTTAATACTTGGACACCATTCATGTCTTGAACTCAAGTCTTCCCATCTCTGGAACCAGAACTCAATCCATTGTGTCAACTGGCTGCCTAAATGACAAATGATCTCTGTAGATCAGGAATAGGAGATGCATTGAGGGCCACCAAATCATAGGAAAAGAAGCTGTACAGATATTGTTGCAGAAATGACAAATATTTGAACCTAAGAGACCTGATCAAACAGGACCAATAATGGCTGACAAAGGTGCTAAAAAGAAGATCTGGGTACTGTACAAAGATGGAAATGGCAAAGATGACGATTGGTTCTGGAGTTTAGTTAATCTTCAAGTAAAATAGAGAAATGAATGGTGCCCAGGTATTAAAAGGAGCACGTTTCCAAAGCCTGCCAATTTTGCCTTTACAACATCTCTCAAATATGCCACCCTACCCTGCCACTAGTGCAAGCCCTTATCATCTCATGCTTGGATTACTGAAGTAGTCTGCTGGTAGGTGGGTCTACCTGCTTCTAGTCTCTCCCCACTCTAGTCAATCCTCTATTTAGCCTCTAAAGTGATTTTCCTAAATGTAGATTTGATGTCACCCACCCCTTCCCCTCCTCCCCACTCAATAAAATTCCAGTGGTTTCTTATTGAGTCCAGGCACAAATACAAAATGTCGTTAGGCATTCAAAGTCCTTCAAAACCTAGCCCCTTCCTACCTTTCCGATCTTCTTATATCTTATTCCCTGATAAGACACTCCATCTTTCAGCTCTGGACATTTTCTCTGGCAGTGCCCCATGCCCAGAATGCCTTTCCTCCTCCTCCTGACATCCCTAGCTTCCTTTAAGTCCCAACTAAAATTACAACTTCTATAGGAAGCCTTTCCCAATCCTTCTTAATTCTAGCGCTTTTCCTCTGTCTATAGCTTGCTTTGTATACATTTGTTTACAAGTTCTTTGAGGACAGGGACTGTCTTTTGTTTCTTTTTGTATCCTCAATGCTTAGCACAGTGTCTGGCACATAGTAGACACTTAATACATGCTTACTGATTTACTGATAGAAATAATGATTCACTGATTAGCTTGCTGTAATAATTGTGTAAATTGTTTTCCTGGCTCTGCTTACTTCACTTTGCATCATTTCATATGTCTTATCATGCATTTCTGTATTCATCACATTCATCTCTTTTGGTACAGCTGTAATATTCTATTACATTTATGTGCCACAATTTATTTAGCTATTTCCCAATTGGCCCCAAAGAAAAAAGTTGAGAAGGAACCTTCGTCTTCTTTGCAGAGGTTGGGAGGAACATAAATGTGGAACACTTAATATATCAGACTCTTGAAATGTTGGCTAGTTTTGTTCAGTTTTTCTTCTTTTTTTAATTATTTTTGTAAGAGTTTGCTCTAGAGAAGGTTACACTGGAATATGGATATGAATATTAAAAAACTGTTTCAATAAATTAAAATTTTTCAATAACATGTATACCCTTTAAGGAACAACTTGCAATACTCCAGTGACCAAAGTTATATTCTTCTAAAAGTCTGTCAGTACAAAGTGAGTGCTTTTCATACCATTTGGTCTCTATGACAAAACAACAACTTTTCAGCTTTGCATTTAAAACATTGCTCAATCTGGCTCAAGGTGGCCTCTCAAGGCTTACGTCACACATGTAATCCCTCCTTATACACCGGCTTGATGTTCCTAGAATGTTCCTACTTAAGGTGCCTTTCCTTCACTTGGAATGCACTCCCCTCCTCAGCTTGGTCTCTTAAAATCCTTATCTTCCTTTAAGATTCAACTCTGGGGGCCTCTTATGAAAAACCTTTCTAGATTCTTCATTATTACTCTCCACTTACTCAAAATATCTTTATATATATATGACTTTACACCCAAGGCTTCTGATCTGAGTTTTAAGGCAAGGCAAAGAAATCTTCTCTTCTCCAACTAAATTTGTGTTTTTTTCACTGTAGGGTACAAATCAGATTTAAAAATACATATTTACTTTTTAATCCTCATCTGCCAAGCCCACCATACTCTCCCTGCTCCCTACAGAAGGTACTTTACACTGCTATTTGGATGCAAAAAAAAAAAAAAAAATTACACATTTACACATTTTTGATAACCTTTGCAGTCTTATACATTTTAAAATATCCAGAGAAAGAGTCTGTAGGCTTCAGACTGCCAAACACAAAAAAGTTTAAAATCTTGGCTTTCGAGGAAACTGTTGCCAACCTTTAATTATCTACATTAACAGAGAAGCATTGGTCTATACAATGCCAAATCACGGATAATTTTAAAACCACTTGTATCCCACTTTAGAATACATTTTTATGTTTACATCTGAATACAGATGTGTCTTGATGTTCTAGGAATTCAGTAAAGTGTTCATTCGTTATAAAGAAGCAGAGATAATCCAAATTCAAATATGAATTCAGACTTCTATTTCAATGCAAACATTTATTAAATTGCTGTGAGCATTTAAAGTTAAATGCTGTTACAAAGATGAAATAAGATACCCAAATTCAATGCGGAATAAGAAAAATACACATAGGAGAGGCCAGAGCCCCCTGAGAGATTCAAAAAGGAAGAGATCATAATCTTATTTATAATTTTTTGGAGGCAATCAGAAAAATCAGTGTAACTGATAGAAAAACATGGAAGTTAAACAGTAGGGCAGGTTTGAGATGGCAAATAAGGAGTTTAATTTTCAACAAGTTAGAGGTGAGGGAGTAGTAAGGCATTCAGGCAGAAGATCTATCTTCAGAATCTTCAGATAGGAATCTAATGCTTTAAGGTTTGCAAGTTACTTTGTATACATTATCTCATTTGGGTTCCATACCAACCCGGGTGAGGTAGTTGGCATTATGATCCTCATTAAGTGACTAAGCGCCTTGCCCAAGGTCAGACAGGTGCAGAATTTGAAATGAGGCCTTTCAGACTCCACAATGCCTCTTTCTCCAGAGAGTGGTCAGAGCTGAACATAAAAGATCTGGGAATCATTTACATATAGATGATAATGAAAAGTGAGAGATTGAGAATTCAGGAAGGGAGAAGGTATAGGGAAAAGATAAAAGGACTAGGGTCATTATCTCAGAGAGTGCAAAAAGATAAGCAGCCAGGAGAAATTGAAAAGGGACAGAGAAAGAGGAAGAGAAAGAACCACATTATGAATCAAAGGAAGAGTGCTAAATAAATAAGGAGGCCATAACTAAAACTGTCACTAACGGCAAATCTCCAGTAATTTATTTTCTCAAGTTCTTGACTGCTGTTCTGCTTAGTTATAAGCTGTTTTGCAACCTTTGTCCTCAATTGAATCAATGATCAGAATAGGAAATCCTTCAGAGGAAAACATGGCTCCAACTTTAATACCGATAACTAACTATAATGTACAAATCTCAAAGTCCTAACAACAATAGCTGACATTTATGTAGTGCATAAATGTAAAACACAAATCACTAAACAAAAATAAACAGCTATTGTGTACATTATCTCATTTAATCCTCAAAACGTCGAGGTAGGTACTGCTTTTTTTTTTTTTAATGAGAAAACAGGCTCAGAGAGGCTACAAAGTAAAAGAATTAGCTTTTTAATTTAGGCATTCTGACTACAAGTCTAGTGCTCTTTTTCATAACACCTCACTTCTGAGGTACTAAGCTGAGTACTTCTACAGAACTCCAAATTTAAAATGCAGCATAAGGTGGTAAAAAGAGTAATCAATTTAAAGTCAGTGTTGTTGACCTCTTTGAGACTCAGTATTTTCTGCCTCTCATATCCAAAGTCAGACTTTCACTTAGATCTGAAGACACAGGTCTAAGTCAGGAGAGATCTGCAAACTGTACCTCTCTGTATGGAAACTCTGTGCTAGCCCTTGTGAAGAAACACTATTAACAGTTTAGTAATTGTTCCATCATATTCAGACAGGCATCTAAAACGTTCAGGGGGAAAAAAATAAGGTTTGGCCCTTTAAAGAAATGTTTATCAAGCAGCTACAGAGGAAGAGAGACAGGGCACCTTGTAAAATGGAAATTCAACTCTAAATTAATGAAAGAATATCACAGAAAAGCCAAATTACAAGCACCAAGAGGTGACAATGTAAAAAGTCTTCTGGCTCAGCCCCAAGGCAGGTAACATATAAAGCTTAAAAGAGCAGGCCAAAAATTATGAGAGAAATTACTAGGAAAAATGAACAAGCAGCCTAACTTTGGCAAAGAGAGCGAAAACAGAGGCTCTGAAAAGTTCAGAAGAAAAGTAGTAATGAAGCAGATTATACTATACACTATTAACGAGTCAGGAAAACAGAGAGTAATTTGCCAGGAACTGATAAATAAGAAGTCCAAAAAGTTAAAATGGTTTGGCTTCATGTTGCTCAATGACAACTGAACACTGGAGGTTTCTAGAGGCAGGGTTGAAAGATACTGTTTCTCAAGAGTTCTGCTCCAGGCCCTTCAGGGCTTAGCTTTACCTTTCCTCTTCCACCTGCTCTTCCTGCCCTCCTTGTTGCTCCCACCGTCACTGCTACTACTGCTGTTCTCAGAACTTGGGGAATCTGACTGGCCATCGCTGCTCTCTTCAGAGCCTTCTGATAATTCTTTCACGCCATCTGGAACATCTTTCTGAAAATGGAAAGTCAATTAGGGTTAGTGACTACTAAACACTTTATTTACAATGTAACAGAGGTATGAGTCAGGTGACTCCAAGCTAGGAAAATCTGGACTGAAGTCCCCCCTTTGCTACATTAGCCTGGGCAAGCCACTTCACCTCTTTTTGCCATCCAACTCCCTGACGACCCTAAATTGCACAGAAGGTGCTGACCCGCACTGGTAGTTGGAGTTTTCTCTCCCAGGAAAGTTCTCCATACTAATGAAATTATTGGTACTCTTATAAGCTAGGGAGCGATTAGGAACTTATGCTAATTTAAAACACTGGTTTAAGTTCTCATTCTTTTTTTGTTTGTTTGTTTAGGCAATCAGGGTTAAGTGACTTGACCAGGGTCACATAGCTAGCAAATGTCAAATATCTGAGACCAAATTTGAACTCAGGTCCTCCTGACTTCAAGGCTAGAGCTCTATTCACTGTGACACCTAGCTGCCCCTAAGTTCTCAATCACAACAAGAGGTACAAAATTACATTTTCTGATTGCTAATAATACAACTCCCAAAGCATAATATGCTTCAATCAAGGCTAATCTTTTGCATTCCTATACACATACTACAAAACTGTGAAGATACAGAAAAACAATATACCCTAGTAAGAAAAAATGGGTTTAAATTAAAAAGCAACATTCTCATTAGATACAAAGAACCTCAGGATCATAAGCCTTACTTCAATACTTCAAAAGGCTCCTTGATTTCACAGGTCTGGGCACTTGCTCCCCCTTGACTGACAACATCCAACCCTTCTACCAACAGAGTCCAAACTTTCTTAACAACTTCATATTTGGTTTGTGAAGTAAAATCCATCATTCTAATGACAAACTGGGGATAAGCCTTTGCAAATTTACCTAGCTGGTCCTCAGACAGACAGTTTGTCACCAGTTTTATGTTATAAAAAGCTCTAAGGCATTTAAATAGGATACTGCCAGAGCTGTGATGGCATTCCATTTCTCTCTAGTAGCTGTGACCCAGGGAAAAAAATATTTTAAGTGGCTACTTATTAAGGTCACTTCATATGTACAAAATGATCCCCCACTGCTTTAGTAAGGAAAATCTATATTCCTGATTATCTTACTCTAATCTCTAAGACCTTGTAGCCATCTATCATAACATTAACTTGATATAATCTTCACAAATCTATGCCTATATCCCTTTCTTTCATCCTTCAAAAACTTATGACTCAGCCCCTTCACACATTCTTCTAAGAATAACTAACTGCTTTTAGTAATGCTAACCTGAAAAATTGAAATAAATTATTTTTGTCTACAATTTTGACTAAAAAAAAAAAACAAAAAACAAACAAAAAAGTTCAACCATGTCCTAAATAAAGAACCACACAGAGATGTGACCTTTGCCATCTATTTATAACTCTGGTCCTTTCAGATACTATTTCTTACTGGACATTTAGCCTTCAATCTGAGTAACTGTCATAAAATGTAAAGTTATGAACCATAAATGGCAAAAGAAGATTCATATTACAGCATACAATTTCAGTTAATTAAGTTTTTTTTCCATCAAAATAAAACAATGTGCTTTTCTCGTGAATTTTCAGCTGTTAAAATCTAATGACTTCTGGTATTGACTGCATTCTTAAGATAACCCTGGGAAATGGCAGGGGCATGAGCTGCTTGGGAAGCCTAAATGCAAGCTATGCTAGAGATATCTATATGGGGACCTCCTCAGTTTCTGCAATCCCAATTAAGAGTCACACACCGAAAAAACATATTCTAGGGTACTAAACTTATATATCCCTGGTAGATAAAAGGGAACATAGAACACCTGCCAACTACAACATATCATCAGAGAAATAAATTAGCATTTCCTCAAAAAAAAAATCATTAGGCATTTAGGCAATTATGTAATAGAGGGGGTCACCATGAGGGGGGGGGGGGGTGAGACTGAGTCAAACAGTCACCAAAGGGTGCATCTGAGACTTTCTGGAAAATGACTACAAACAAATAGTGCTTTATCATATACGGAGAAGGCCAGGTCACATCCTACAGATTTAACAAGAAGAATAACTATGAAGAGGTACAAATGTGGTCAAGCTACCTGTTTCTATGCAAGTATTCCTGTACCAGAAGGAAATGTAATCTGTTTGTCAAACAGGATAAGTCCTTGTGGGAGGGGGTAATGTCACCCATAGAATATATGCCAAAGGACACAACTTGCTAACTGGTGTTATCTGAAGTCCTGCAGTCTATATAGGTAAAAATAGCAAGACTTCCTTACAATCTGAACTATGGAGGGCACTCTCCCCAGGAGTGGAAAGGCTACAGAAGAAAAATGGATGCTACACAATTCTACAGAGGTAAGAGTAAGAAACCAACTTGAGAATGACTCTGTTGTTCTGAGCTTTGACCTCCAGGATTCTAGTTAAGGGAAGATTACATATTAAGGGTTACTGACTGCTCTAACCAAAGTGACTATTAGAAAGTAGATAAATTTCTGAGAGAGATATGACAGAGTACTGGGCCTGGATAAAAACTACATTAATAACTCATGGAAAAAGTATCAATTTGCATGATCTTTTCAAGAATGAAGAAAAGAGAAAGGCAAAGTTGGCTAATATCTGTTTTGTAGGCTACCACTAGGTTTTAATACCATTAACTTTTCCCTCCACTGCCACAGAAAACAGGGGAGAAGTGTAGAAACAACACAAGAGCTAAAGAGATAAATAAACAATGGTTCTTTGTTTTTTAGAGAAAAACTCCATTCTGGGTTAAAGAGAGCCAAGTTAATTTTTTTTTAAAGCCCTAAAAATTATTTGATTAGCAAAAACAAAAATACATATTTTTAATTTGTTTTTCCTTTGGGGGAAGAAGGAGGAGACTAATTCCATCAGGATAGGAAACTCTTGATGAGAAGCACTTTCTTATTTTTAAATTAATTATTTGAGTTAAGGTAAAACATTAAGCTATTATCATATAATCACTAATTGTTTTGTGAGACCAGGGCAAGTACAATGCTATGAAGACATGAAAATCAAGTCAGTTAAGTCCTGATGGGAAATGAGGAAAGGGGGGAGACCAGCAAGGCTCTGGTATAAGAGTCTTCAAACTTTTCCTTATTTCATTTTTCTACTTTTGTGATCAAAATGTGCTTTTAAAAAACTGACAATGGTAAAATCTGAAGACTAGGGAGTGTCTAGAGTTGAATTCCTTGGGAGGATGGGAGTGGTAAAATGGGACTGTAAGAGATATAACCATAAATCACCATTTAATGCCTATAGTCTACAGTATGGTCTACAGTACGGGGAGCTGCAGAAGAGGACAAGTCACTTCTAGTATTCAACAAAAATTTATGAAGTACTTAATATGTGCAAAACACCTATTCTAACTCTTTGGTAAAAATACTAAGTTTAAATAACAAGCAGAATTCCAACAGAATGTAAACTCCTTAAAGTCAGAGATGGTCTTACTTTTTTACTTGTACCCCTATTGACTAGTAAAATGTCTGGCACGCAGCAGTTGCTTAATAGATGCTTGCAGATTAACAAGGTCCCTGCACTCTAAGAGCTTATAGTCTTTGTTAGTAAGGGTAAAGTGACACAGGAGGCTTCCCCTAGGCTGCCCACAAATCTATTCAGTTAGTCAGTAGCATGAGGACTCTGGATGGCTGGAAGGGAAGGACAAATGGACAGAAAAAACCAGTCATGTAATCCACACAATTTTATATATGTCTGTTAAAAAAAAATTCAAAAGCAACACAGTAGCCATTGTTTTCAATTACCTGCTACAGCAATATATTCAGGAAAAAATATGTAAACTAATTATATTAAGACTTATTCTAATAAAAGAATTATTCTAATACTTTATTTAATATGCTATTTTGCTTTTAAACATCAGAGTCTATTCAAAATAAAATGGGATCCTTACTAGCTATGTGACCCTGGGCAAGTCACTTAACCCCATTGCCTAGCAAAAACAAAACAAAACACAAACTCAAAATAAAATGGGATCTTCTCCAAACTTGTTGATATCTGATATAGCTGATATTCTGACATAGTTTTCAAATAAAAACTAAACTTTTATTTCCTAGTAGCAGTTTAGTGCTCCAGTAAAACACTGCTTTGTTTTGTTTTGAAAACAATTCAACTTCATATTATTTGGCAATTTTGTAACCAATTTACCAGCACCAATTAACCTCATTTACTTTCAGGGAAATGGTATTGATAAGGAAGGCTAAAATTACTGATGTGGTCCACCTCTCAAAGAAGCATCTTACAGGCTGACATCTATTTGTCCGGCTGACATCTATCTATCCATCTGGTAAGAGCACCTGAACTCCTGTTACCTTGCTTATGAACTCTAGAGATATCGGTTTTTCAATCTTTAAAGTTCAAGTCCAGTTCCTCAATATTGCAAAAACTTCTAGAAAACATTTCTCCAACAGACATTTACCTTTAGGGTATACACTCCCATTCTACCTGGAACCTTGTAGAAAATTCCTTCTTCCCCTCTGGAGTTGGTGTGCAGCATCGCATTCAGACACGCAAGGGGAGATGTTCCACTGGGGGGCGGGGGGAGGAGAAAGAGGTAAAGATTAGATTCCATTCCAAGGATACTTTCACAATTTATTTTATAAATCTAAAACTACTTACAATCTTTTAAAATCTAACAATCTATAATCATTATTAATATAACAGATTCACAAAGGAAGTCAGTTTTCATAGCTGTATAGATATTGGCATTTTATGTAAAAAGGCTTTTTCCCATTTCCCAAGATATCCATACAATTTTTCTGATGCCTACACACTACCTCAAGAAAAACATAGGCAAAGCTATTTTCTTAATATTAAGAAATGACCTAATTGGTTTGCTAATCTTCTTTATTCAACACAAATACATATTATTTTAATGTATATGTATATGTACAAGTAATCACATTCTGTGCTGTCAGCATACTGCTCCTTCTGTGGTCTCCACTTATCTTCACTTTCTCCCTTTTCCTGGTTGCTTCCTTACTGCCTGCAACATGCTCATGTCTCTCCCATCCTCAAAAAACCCTCATTTCATCTGTCCATCCTCATGAGCTATCATCCTATATCTATCTCTCCTTTCTTTTATGCCTAAATTACTTGAGAAAGCCATCTACAATAGGCACCTTTCCCTATACATTTTAGTTGCTAATTCCATCACTGAACCAAAACAGCTTTCTCCAACATTACCAATGATCTCTTACTTGCCAAATCTCAATCTTCATCTTTCTAACCTTTCTGCAGCCTTTGACACAGTTGATCAATTTTTACTTATTCTCATAAGATCCCATGAAATCAGTCAGTGATCATCTCTACACTGATGATTCTCAGTTCTACTTACCATTAACCTCTACGCTTATTTCCAGTCTCAGATTTCCAAATCCCCTGACTTCTCAAATTGGATGTCCCATAGACACCTCAAACATCATAACCCAAAAAATCCCAACATATCCAACAAATCTCCCCTTCTTTTTCACTGTTATCACTATCTTGCCCATCACCCAAGACACCAAACAAAGTGTCATCTTCAACTCACTCTCACACCCACACCCTCATATCCAATATGTTGCCAAGAGATTTTATCTTCATAGCATCCCACATATACTCCCTCCTTCTCTCCTCTGACATAGCCATCTCCCTGGTAAAGGTCCTCCTCACCTTTGGTGCCTGGTCTATAGCATTTTAGTTTGTTTCCTTGACTCAGGTTTCTCCTCACTCCAGCCCATCCTCATCGAACCTGGATTAATACAACATTCTTCTGTGCTTGATCTCCCTGCCTCAAGTTTTTTCCTACTCCAGTCCATCCTCCACTCAATGTGATTTTTCAAAAGCACAGCTCTGACCATGCCATACCCTTCTTCCTCCCCTCCCTCCCCACCCATATCACCACCAGGATCAAATATAAAAAATCCCCAACTTATCCTGTATATAGTTTTTCCATACGTAATTGTTTGCATGTTGTCTCCTCCACTACTTTGTGAGTTCCTCAAGAGCAAGACTATCTTTTGCCATTCTTTGTAACCACAAGTACTTAGCACACTGTCTAGTACACAGTAGGTGTTTAATAAATGTTTATTTGTTGACAAATAAAAATGTCCCAAAAATGTTTTAGTAAAAGAAACAGTAGCCTACAGCTGCATCAAACAAGCTAAACATTCTCCCCACCTAACTCTATCAAGGCTATCATAAAACCACTTTCTATGGCTATCAAGTTTTCTATTTAAATCTCCTCTTGAAATATGTTTTCTTATGGTTGAGATATAAAGTGTCTCCTTTCCCACTCCTCAAAATTAGTGCTAAGGAATGCTTATTAAAGTGGTTTGCATCTGAATGTGTGAACTGGCTGTTGAGGCAATCTCAAGAGAAGAAGAAAACTGCCATTTTCAAATTTGGAATATCTGAACAATTAATTGTATGAAACAGGATCCCTAAATTTTCATAGCATATTGAAAAGAACATAGGATTTACAATGTGATGATGTGGGTTAAAATCTTGTTCTGATACTTTACTGAGTGACCTTTAGCAAGTGACTAAACTTTACTGGCTTCAGTTTCCTTAAAATATTGAATTAAATAAATGAACTATGAGGTCCCTTTCAGTTCTAAAACCCTACAATTCCATATTGGGGTTTTGGCAGAGAAACCCTTGCAAATAAATCAGCTGCAACAATAACAATGGATTGCATTTACATAAAGGACTTCAATTACAAAGCACTGGGAATATATGTCTTCATTTGATTTTTACAACTCTGTGATATAGGTATTTTAATTATTATTGTTCCCATTTTACTGAAAACAGAGGTTCTGAGAAAATCAATGACTTGCAAAGATCACGTGACAAATAAAGGACAGAGGCAGGACTCAAAGTCAAGTTTTCCAATCCAAGTTTACAGCACTCTGAACCCCAATCCTGGGTGCCTGCCCACAACCATCTCTCTCTTGAGGTTCTGCCATCTGTGCTCAGGAGAAGAGAACAAGGTAAAAAACAAATGAGAGGCCTAAAGTCCAAAGCAGTCAGTTGTTCCAACAGCAAAGAAAAAAATGCCAATTTTGTTCCCAATGTAAGAACATCATCTACTACTACTATTTATTAAAACTTTTCTTCTGAAAGGTTAAAGGAGAAAATACTTACTAGAAAAGGGAAACTAATGGAAGATGAGGAAAGCAGCTCACAAAATTTTTTGACCACAATCTGTTTTTAATCTGTCAAAAAACATCTAAACTTTTAAGAAAAGTGGGGTGCTTTCTAAAAGGATATTCTAATGAAGGCAATAAAAAAAATCAGCACTGCTGGTTGGCACTTATTTCCCTCAAAGTTTCATGAATGCCTTTTAAAAATAATGTTTAGTAGCAGCTCGGTGGCGAAATGGATAGAGAGCTGGGCTTGGTGTCATGAAAACTCAACTTCCTGAGTTCAAATCTGTCCTCAGATACTGGCTGTGTGACCCTGGATAAGTCACTTGACCCTGTTTGCCTCAATTCTTCATCTGTAAAATGATCTGGAGAAGGAAATGGCAAATCACTCTAGCATCTTCGCCAAAAAACAAAACAAAACAAAAAAAAAAACCAAACAAACAAAACAAAAAACAAAATGTGGTCACAGAGAGTCAGACACAACTGAAACAACTCAACAACAACAATACTGAGTGTGCCTTACACATGGCAGGGGCCTGCTGCTCATTAAGTCAAGGGATACAAAAGAGAAAATCTAATTTGGGAAGTAAATAGCTGCCTAAGAAATTAGTACCTAAGAAAGGGATTTGGGCATCTGGACAACTGCTTAAGATAAAACAAACTGATCATCAGAGCATGCTCAGGGTTTCTTAAACTTTTTCCACTCCAGACCCCTTCAGTGCTTCTTAAACTGTGGGTCATGAACCCATCGTGGCCCACACTATAAGATACAGATAATGAAAGAGAAATTTGAGAAACAGGCCAAAATTCTCACCTTCCACAGGAAGCCTTTCCTGATCTTACTTGAATTCTAATGCCCTCCCTCTGCTGATTTCTCTCTAATTTATCCTATCTATACCTTGCTTGCATGTTTTATCCTCCATTAGAATGAGAGATCCTTGAGGGCAGGGACTATCTTTTCCCTTTCTTTGTAACCCCAGCATTTGGCTGTGTTCAGCACATGGTAGGCACTTATTAAATGCTTACTGACTGACTGATGAATATGGCACTTCAATTAAGACATGTTCTAGATCTCTCTCTGCCAAAGCAGAGAAGCTAATAATTTCTATACTTGCCTTAATAAAAATTTAATCATTCAAAAGAAGGTAAAGTATGAGGGAAAATTCTCAACCACATCTAATTCTGACTACTGAGGAACTGGATGCTGGAATGACAATGTCAAGAACCTTAGCGGGATAATGTCCAGCCCCATCTAGAGTTTGTGTTAGAAAAGAAAACTGGGTATATAGTCTGATATGCACCTGTAATTTTGAAAATGCAGTTATGAAAGGGTTTAGAGCAGAAGTTTTTAATCCAGGTTCCACAGACACCCCCCCCCCAGGGGGAGGGGTCTGTGAACTTGGATGGAACCCTCTCCTCCAAATTATATCTTTATTTTCACTAACCTCTAACTGAAATATAGCATTTTCTTTCATTGCGAACTTACAAAAAATAGATAAAAACATTATTTTGAAAGGGGGTCTCCTAGGTTTCACCAGCAAAAAGAGTCCATCACACACACAAAAAAAGTTAAGAACCTCTGGTTTAAAAGAAAGATGAGTAGGATACTATGGTGAAAAAATCATTTAAGAGAAGTCAGCATAGGAAACATACAAAAATCTTCAAAAATGAAATCTTAAGACAAAAAGGGAAAGCATCCCAATGAAAAGGGAAATTATGTGCTCACTCATTTCCCTATGTTTTGAATACTTAAAGCATTTATAGCCTTTGACACAATTTAGTTCTCAATTATGTATCAGTCTCATCTCATCAAATAGATTGAAATGATATAGAGTAGATATAACTGACTGATATCATCATTATAAAAATAATAGGCAAAATCGTAAGAGTACATAATCTTTTGAAAGGAAAAAGGAAAGAGAAGAATAGAGGTTTCAGGACTTAGCCTTGGAAAATTCATTATTAGAGGGCAGTTAAGGACACAGAGTCAGAACAATCAGAGACCAAAGAGGAGAACAGAAGAATACAAATTATGGAAAGAGAATTTCCAGAAGGGAAGTCAATGGAAAACAAAAAAGCCTGTCAAGCAGGAACCAAAAATAACAAGCCCTTGCAGTGTGCTAGGTCTACATTATGGGACTTCTACTAAAACTGCCATAAGAGCAGAAACAAAAGCATACAGCATTATACACATTATTACACAATACAGATTAGACCCTGGACATAACTGTATTATTTTTTGGAAAGTTAAAAAAAAAAAAAAAAAGATAAGGGGCATAGAAAGAAGCAGAAAATAACAAACATTTATTAAGTGCTTACTATGAAGAAGCACAGTCCCTGCCCACCAGCTTATATTCTAAGTGGGGAGACCAGGTCCGATCAAAAGATAAACAGAATAT